TGTGTGTGTGTGTGTGTTGCAGCTTGATAATTAGCATTTGCCACTGCTGAGCACACACTCGGCCAGGATCAATAAGATATTAGGCTCGTGTACATAGCAATGAGCTGCATTATCGCAGGAGTCATTTAGGACACAGAGGGAGGAGGGTAGCCAAACAGTACAGCAAACATGATGTATTATTGACTAACCATTCAAGCTAAACCTGTCCCATCCAGGTTTGCATATAAGTGTGTCTATGTGCAAAGGGATGAATACATGTGTATGAGCAGGTGTCCGTGATTTTAAGTGATTTGACACAATTTCCCCCTTATCCCGAATGTAATCGATCAGCAAGGACATGTTTGGTGTCTTTAGTTTTTTTCCACTGGAGCTATGTGGCTAACATAGCTAACAAGTAATGGAAGCTTATTTCAATTGAGTGTTATGCAAACTGCTTAAACCATCAAATACTTCAGATGCCTCGGATTGCGTAATTGTTAAATAATCTCAAATAGACTTGCTTGACATAGTATGATATAGTTTTATCTATAAAAATGGACAAAATGGCCCAACTGTCTAAGAACTGGCCTTAACATTGCGATATCACACGCTTAATCTTCAGTGATGCTATAGCCATTCATAGATGGGAGTCTAAGAGAGCATAACTGACCTCACTCTCTGCAGGTGGGCAGGATAGCCCTCCCTCTCCCCACATCTTTCAGCGCAATGCTGGCCAACCCAGTAATGCTGAATAAGCAGCAGTTAAAAAAAGATATAGTGGCTGACTTCACATGTCTTTACTAGCCCCATTGTCCTAGCTCAGGGGTTGGCAACCCAAATATCAAGAAGAGCCATTTTGTCCTTTCAACAAAAATCAAACCACTTTTGGCGCCACAACATTTTATGTCCATTTTACCATCTTAGCTGTAAACATGTCTCAGTATGTGCTAATGTACTAGTATAGGCTAAAAAATATAAATGAAAACTCAGACTTACTTTGCTTTAAGCTTTAGCTCAGCTTTAGCTGCTTTTCTCACATCTCCGGCAGAAAACCTTTCAGCAAAAATGGAATAGTTTCTTGTGAAATGTCTTTCAGTGTTTAATTTTTTCTGAGGCAGAAGTCAGCTTCTCATTCGCCAGCTTCTTGTTCGAATTTTCCCGTTCCACCTTAAATGGTGCCTGAGGCGCCAGAATGTAACAGCTGCACCATTTAAGGTGGAACGGGAAAATGCAAACAAGAAGCTGGCGAAAGAGAAGCTGACTTCAGATTTGATTATCGATGTTCGTCTGATATCTTTCTCTTTGTCTTTTCGTCAGCTACTAGCTAGGCCAGATTTTTATCTGCATTGCTATAGTGACTAGTCTGCGTGCAGTGTACCTTCAGAGGTAAAGGTTGGTGAATTAGCAGTTATACATTAACTCCAGCGTTAGAACCAACTATCAGTAATGCTTTATTTTACTGCAAAGGGTGATTTTTTATGTTTACCTACAAATGTGGAGCCACAACAGGGCAGTAAAAGAGCCTGTCTTAGCTAGTGATGGGCCAGAACTATACACAAGTCAAAATGCTTGAAGTCAACTCTTTGACTCTGTCAGCTCCTTGTTATGTCAAATATAACATTGTGATAGACTTACATTGAATAAAACGACATCCTAGAAGGTAATTATTTACCAGAGAAGCTGATTTTGATGGCCTGTGGAATTCTATAAAGTACTTGCAATAAGCGTGTTTAATAATCAGTGGGTTAAAATTAAAACACTAATTTAAAGTGGTTCAGTCTTTGCTATATCTGTTTATCCATGACACTGTCTCGGTTAAAATCAAGTGGTTTTAAGAAATCCATTCTGTCAAATGATATCTGCTACTATTTTTTAGCTATGCAACATTTTTCACTTGTGTTTTTATTCAGACACCAAGCATGTTTGGCTGATTGATTACATTCAAGGTAAAGGAAAAGTTTTTTTATTATCAGCAGTTAAGCAGACTCACTTCCTCTGAAGATGGCTACTATTCGTTGTCCCTGCAGGTGTAAAACACTCCCTTTGGCTTTGGTCCATGACAGCTTACCTCAGGAGTAATTATCCTATAGATGATCTCTGATCAGAGCCCAGCACCCCCAGTCTCCCTGCAGACCCCCATCCCTGTCCCTTAGGAGCCCAAGGCGCCGCTGGCATAATGGATTAGGCCACGCTTGTTTTTACAGCTCCTGATATATGTGTACATTATTCAGGAAGCCTGTTGAATAATGCATGTGGGCATTTTAATGTTTCATTCACGGTCAGGTCATGGACTGAACAGGAATTCTTCGTGAGTTGACCTGACCACTGCCGTTCTTCGGACTGCCAGGGTGTCATTCCCTGTAGCATGTGAGTTTGCACATGTGTGTGCACGTGTTCGAGTAATGTGAGAGTCAGCATGTGTGTGTGGGTAGTGGGCGGGGCTCACTGCCACTTTTTCATTCTGCAGTTTGTCTCAAGATACATCAACACACACACTGCCTTTGTTAGCAGTGTGCGGCGCGTGTGTCTGCCGACATGTATTTTTCATTCTGAAATATTATTCCTGTTCCGAATGTAATCATCCATACTGAATAGGAGACAAAGAGTCGGATCTGTAGTTTAGCATGTCTGCGGATGTGATAAAGCCTCTGTCTAATGCTACTCTGTGTGTGTGTGTGGGGGGGGGTGAGTGCAATGGGATTCAGAGATGTCATGAATGAAGGTAGCCATTGTGTTGCTAGCTACACTAGTCATTATGAGATTCTGCCGTTTGCACTGGAAGTGAAGGTTTTTTGAGGTTTTGTAAAGCTCTGAGTTTTTGTTTCCCTAGCCCGTCCTATAGCTGATAAGGGTGATGATTGTAACTGGGGGATGAATTCCCTAGCGTGTGGCTACAGGATCCCACCATGAAGCACTGGCTAGAAGAATGAGCTCGCTTCGCCACGGGTGGAAGCATATCAGCTTTTTAAAGAGGGCTTTTTGTCCAGCATCTGCTCCTATTCATCCACCCCCCTACTGCTTTATTGGCCTGAATGGTGTTCCATATTGACTGTACAACTGGCTCCTCTCCCAAAGACAACTGATTTCTTTTATGCACTCAGATATATTACATACAGACGGGTGGGCGATGTGCCCAAAAATCTTTTCACGGTATATTTTTCCCTGTCATTTGTTGCTGACAATTCTTTTTTAAATTTTTTTCCCAATTTAGTCTCTAGTTTTGATCGTATAAAATTCCACCCACTAGTTAGGACGCCCCTAGTCACATGATACCACCAGTGCTAGGAAGGTGAAGGCTAACACAGGCTTCCTCCAGGTGCTGTAAAGGTCAGCCACTGCATTCTTTCGAACTGCCGCCGTCATTGGATACCTGAACACGCTTGAAGGAGAACACTAACCACCAATTCTATTACACCAGCTGACAGAGTCCTGTGCTTGCTAGCATCACACTAAGTGATGGGGAGAGGGAGGGACATCCTACACAATCGAAGAGAGTGAGGCCATTTGTGCTCTCTTGGACTCCCGGCCATGGATAGCTGTAGCATCACCAGAGATGGAACTCGCGCACTCCTGATGATAGGGCCAGTGCATACACAGTTGTGCCTGATTCTCCTGATTGTCAATTTTAAGTTATGTCCTACAGAGGACATGCCACCTCTTTTGCCACAGAGCCCTCTTGTTCAGATATACTGAAAACTAACTAACTAGCTACTCAAATCAACTAGCTTTCACTCTGCTGTGAGTGAATGGCTAGACATCTTCTCTCTCCATCTAGTGAGCAAAAGGCACATAACATTCCAATACTGAAGGTGTGCAAAGTTCAGGCATTTGCTGCTAATAACATATTGAGGCCCAGAGTGCCGTAATCTTTTTCTGAAGATATCTTAAAGTGCATTACTAACTTGAAGAATATTTTCATTTTGATTATAACTTCGTTACTTTATTGCCCTCACGTATAATATATACAGGCATAGTGACGATCAGGACACAGAAGCAGGGACATTGAGCAAGAGATCTGCCGGTCATTACTGTGTCCAGAGTGTGAGGGCTGCCTGGAATTTAATTTGCGGGCGTCACAGAAGCTGCTTGTCCTTGGTGTGACGGGGACATGGGATGGGAAGACGCTGTGCTCTCTCTGTCTGTCTCTTCCCTTGAATCATGTGTCACTTCAGACAGACATAGTGCCGTCCTCTCCTAATGCGGTCCTCCATGTTTAAAATGAAGACGTTAATCCTTAAAACTGCAGGATTACTCGGTTAGTGATTTTACGTACTATAAGTAGCTACTATAAAGTGATCTTTAAGCTATGTAGTTGTTAGAGTGACAAATTTAAGTGTGTATCCACATACAGACCCTTACAGTTTGTGATTAAGGTGCAGTTATGTTGGCACATGGCTGTGACTGTATGAAAATACAGTGTGGGTTTGTGAATGCAGCAGAAAGATTGGCATATTAGAATGATTATTGTAGGTTTTAGTATAGTCATTAGTATATTAATATATTAGAGGAATATCAGGAAATTCCTCTGGTGCCATGTTTAGATTATTATATATTGTTCATATGGGTCAGACATTAGAGTGTACATATCTGTTTGTCCCTGTACTCATGACGTACGCAAACAGGCCCTTGCAATTTAAGGGGTTAACAAGATATATTTGACTTATCAAGATTTCAGGATCAGCCCGAAACTGATTATCCCGCACTTGGATGCTGAGTGTTTTCCGCTCTCCTGGATCCTAGAGCCTGAAGAAGTCTGTGACTTTATTAGCTGTTCTGATTAGCAATGACATCGCAGTTTTGTCTTTTGTCTTCCAGTTTAAGGCTCCATTAGGAATGACATTTCCTATCAGTTTGATCCAGTCACACTGACTCTCCTGCTGCATGACTGCAGCGTGCAGTTATCTCCTGCCTCAGGGGATACACGTACGGCTTCTGACCACACATACACACACACACAGACGCGGAGACCTGCTGAGACTAAACTTTCTGTGTGCGTGTGTGTGTTTGTGCGTATGTTTCAGCCCACCTGAACCCAGAGCGAGAGAAGCGTGTGGTTTTCCTCACAGCACGTGTTCACCCTGGAGAATCACCTGCTTCCTTCATCTGTCAGGGTAAGACCTTTTCTCCTGCCCTACACACACACATACATACAAACACACACACAGGTAGTTGCTGGCTGCGGTCAGTATCATTTTCTTCTATCAGGCCTGGCTGCTTAATCTGCAGCTCTCGGTCTCCTGAGGGTCAGTGCTGGGCCGGATCGATGGCCAATGGCTGAGGGGGTTCGGAGGGGATTTCAGGCGGACTGACTTTTAGCAGTCACTCTTAAATCCTCTGAGAGTTGCAGTATGGTGTACTGGCCTCATAACAGCACACATACACATGAGCTGCCCCCTAACAATCACCACATTACCCCATTCATCACCATGCTGTTCCAAAACTGCAGATTTAACATAGAAGTGCAACACACACAACATTCAGCTCCTTATAGAAACTCTTTATTGAATTGCGATGCAAAAAATTTCAGCCCGCGACATTTGCATTAACCTTGTTAAACCTAAGGGTCTGTATGTAAGTCTCTGTTTCAATTCCTCACATTCAGAACTACATATCTTACATTAGTACATTAGTTACATAGTAGGTACTGAATAATAAGTCCTAAGTCCGGTTTTTAATGCAGTGACTCTCTGGGGTTGAAGGTGACAGGCATTTAGTTGTGATTTTTGTAGTCGGTTGCTGAGGAATATTATTCTTAAAGTGTTGGATTTTTTGCTGATGCATTGTATAGCAAAGTGGTGAACCTCTACCCATCCTTACTGATGAAGGAATAGGCCTTTCCTGGATGGTGCTTATACACTCAATCATGTGTGCAAGTGGATACGATAAATCGTCAATATTTTTGTACTTTTTTGTTTAAATGCAGGTCAAAGTGGATTTGCAAATCACTGCTGTCTTTTTTTAGATGCATTTCAGAAAATGTCCCAACTTGGGTTTATATAAAAATATTGGCCCTTTCATTGAATGAGGGGGCTGCGTTGAGGTATCTATCTGGCAGGCCGTGGTAGCCTGGTGTTTGATTCCCTGCCTGGGCAAGCGCACAACACTGTACCAATAAGAGTCCCTGGGCAAGACTCCTAATGCTGCATTCACCTAACATGCTCTGGATGAGAGTGTCTGCCAAATGCTGTAAATGTGCATGTCATTTCACAGCAAATACAGTAATTCCTAAAAGGGAGGAAAAGGGGACTGTCATTTCCAAATTTCGAAACTTTTTTTTACATAAAAAATGCCAGCTACCCTTTACATTGTGTCTACATTTGATCATGAACGAGCAACAGAAATGGCCCTAAATGACTTGGAAAAAAGTACAAGTTAAGAAACTTTCCTTCTCCTATAAAGTTACCATTTTGAAGATATTATGACAGCACAGATATAAACATATTTTGAAAACTGCACTTTGTTCCACTGTTGATATATAGGTATCACCAGAAAAAAGCTACATAGGTATCAGCAGTGGAACAAAGTGCAGTTTTCAAAATACAGATATTCAGCACCACTTTCTTTTGTAAGGGAATGTAATTACACAGTGTTAAACAGTGTTCTTGTAAATACAAGAGGGACAGGTTTTAAAGGCTAAAGTCTCTGCGCCTTAGAGGTTTCTGTGTGGGTAATTAGGAAGTTAAGGAGTGTGGTAATTTCAGAGAGGGCTGTCATGGTTAACAGTAGTTTGGCCATGATAATGCTTTCGAGCCACCTGCCTCGCCACCTCAATGTGACTTTCAGACGCACATACACACACACACACACACACACACACATACACACACACACACACACACCGCCACGCAGATGTGCATGAATAAATCCAGGAAGTCCGAGCAATTAGACGGCACACTGGTGTGGCCTCATCCCTCTCTCTCTCTCTCTCTCTCTCTCTCTCTCTCTCTCTCTATCTCTCTCTCTTTCTCTCCCCCCTCTCTCTCCTCCGTGCCACATTGACTCAATTAGAGAGCTTGTTATGCCTCCATTAGCAGTAATGAGCAGGACAGAATGGGCATCAGGAGGAGGAGAGGCATAGGGTCATCTCTCTCTCCCGTTCTCTCTCTCACACTCTATCTCACTCCCTCTCTCTCTCACTCGCTCTGTCTCTATGCCTCTTGTCTCTTGTTTACCTGTCAATTATTGCCACTCACTACAGGGCAAATGGAAAGACAGCGAGTGACCGCCGCCATTGACCCCCCCTGCCGCCCATCACCTCACCTTCTCTTTGTCAACCCTCAGTCTGTTTAAGGCAACCCTGTCATAAATTGTATGTTTGTCTCTTCCTGCCTGTCTTTCATCAAAGGTACTTAGTATGACCTCTGTCTCTCTTAGCTGCTTAGCTCTATTTAAGCTCTCTCTCTCTCTCTCTTTCTCTCTCTCCTTTATATCTCCTGCTGTTTTTAGCTGCCCTCTCTGCTCGATTCCGTTTGTATTGACTGGAGATGGATGTCTCAGATTTCCTCTCTGATTTTATAATGCTGCTTTCTGTCCTTTTAAGTGCCTTTTTGTCCGTTTTCCCCTTGCCAAACTCAATTTCTCGAGATGTTTTCTGGACATCTTTCAAAGTCAGATCTGACTGAGTGCATATGCGCACACTTTTATGTTTTTGTATCCATGCAAATTCATGAAACAGAAAAAAAGCTACGTGTTTCATTTTATTTGAATTGGACGGGCAAACACATTTATTCTTGGTTATTCAGGTTGGGAACTTAAATCCCCTGCTTATTACATCCTAAAGCTTATTATTCAGTAATTACATGGAAAAGAGTGCAAACTGGCTAAGTTTTTCCAAAGATATAGGAGTGAGGAATTGAAGCCTGGGCAATAAAGGAGCTATATGGTTTAGATTTAGGCTCAAGTTAGGTAGGTTTATACAATGTAATGCATATGTATGCATTTATACACACATAAATGCATTATGAGAAGCTCAGTTCTTTAGCTTCATATACCAAACCTGAAATATGAAATCTGGGTATAATGTTAGATTCTGAGCTCTGATTTATCCTGCATGTAAACACAGTCACTAAATTAGCTTTTTATCATTTGAGAATTATTGATAAAGTTCAGCCTTTTCTATCTCAGAGTGATGCGGAGAAACTTGATCATGCATTTGTTACAAGCAAAACTGATTACTGTACCGCTCTTCTTATTGGACTTACTAAGAAAACAATCTGTACTTTACAACCAATATAAAAGTGCAGCAGCACAGATCCTAACAAAAAAGAGAGATTGCATCACTCCCGTTTAGACACTGCACTGGCTATCTGTATCTTTCAGGATAGACTTTGAAGTTCTGCTACTAAATTTTAAGATTCTAAATGACCTTAAAGCACCTGCTTACCTCAGAGAATGTCTGTCTGTTCATGTTCCAATATGTGATCTTCGATCTGCAGATACTGACCTTCTATAAATACCTTTCGTAAATGCAGAAAACATAGAGAGGCCTCTTTCAGTTATTACACCTCTGACCTGTGGAACTCAATTCCACCTTTTATTATACAGTCAAGCTCAGTGCTCACTTTTAAGAAACATTTGAAAACATATTTCTTTGACTTGGCATTTAGTTAAAATTATACATTTCTTTGGTATTTACCTTTTTTAATTTGATCTGTGTTGTCTTATATGGTTTTAAATGAATACTCATAGTTTCTTATATTCATGTTAAACTTTATCACCTGTCTGTAAAGCACTTTGAGCGGTATGAGCAGCATGAAAGTGCTCTATAAATAAAATATTATCATTATTATTACTATTGTTGTTGTTGTTGTTGTTGTTGTACACCACCTGGCCACTTCATTAAGTACACCTCTTTGTTTCTATGCTCATTGTCCATTTTATCAGCTCTGCTTACTATATAGTTGCACTCTGTAATTCTACAATTTCAGACTGTAGTCCATCTGTTTCTCTGCATACTTTGTTAGTTCACCCTGATCTACAATGGTCAGACCCCCACAGGACCACCACAGAGCAGGTACTATTTGGGTGGTGGATCATTCTCAGCACTGCAGTAACACTGATGTGGTTGTGGTGTGTTAGTGTGTGTTGTGCTGGTCCAACCAAAAATATCCAGCCAACAGTGTCCAGAGGGCAGCATCCTGTGACCACTGATAAAGGACTAGGAGATGACCAACACAAACTACACATTTGTCTCTGATTTTACATCTACAAAATAAACAAACAAGGTAAGTGTGTCTAATCGAGTGGACAGTGAGTGGACATGGTGTTAAAAACTTTACTTGTACCAGTGCATGCACTAACACGCCACTACGAAGCAGTGAAACAGTTGGGCTACAGTCTGTAATTGTAGAACCACAAACTGCTCCTATGTGGTAAGTGGAGCTGATAAAATGGACAGTGAGTTTAGATACCAGGAGATGTACTTAAGGAAGTGGCTGGTCCTGACCAGGAATAAAAACAAATGAGTGTTTTTGTGTGTGTGTGCATGTGTGTGTAGGTGTTATCGACTTCTTGGTCAGCCAGCACCCCGTGGCTCAAGTCCTGCGTGATCATGTGGTCTTTAAGATTGTGCCCATGCTCAACCCTGACGGTGTCTACCTGGGAAACTACAGGTGAGGATCTAAAGCTGCTGTAAAATATACCTGTATTCATATTTCTTCTGTAACATGGAACATGAATCATAGCAACGTTAAAGATATGTCCATCTGCGGCTGAACTGTAGCCAACCAGCTATCTAATACATGCTAGTTTTATGCTAATGTTAGCTGAATCCTCACTGGCTTTCAAAGCTGGCAAATGGCATAGTACTGAGGGTTACTTTTCTCTGGCAAAACGAAAAAAGTGCACAGTAAACTGTTAAATTACTTGATGATATTATATCACTGGAAACACTGGTGTCTGTGTGTGGTTGTAATATATTTAGCCCAGATTCTCACATCTCCGGCAGCGATGTAGCGCTGTTCTTCATGCAGTCGAAAATTCTGCTGTTTTCTTGATGGAGATTAATTACGTGTGTAATCAAATATTTCATCAGATCTGACGTATTACCCATTTTGTAGGCCACTATCTTAAGGCTCTTGTTGCACCTGGAACTGTTCTCGAAGTAGAGCCAGACTTTCAACCTCTTCGACATATTTAGTTAGGTAGCTGTGTGCTCTCAGCGTTTCTGTGCAACAGATTGCATTTTTATCTTTTCTTTGTTTTGCATCAGTAGTAAGGCAAACTCCAATAATCCCTCATAATTTGCATTTTATGCGAAGTATCGAAAATAGGCACCGATTTTTTGAGACTTATCCAGTAGTAGTATCAGGATGCTTCGGTCAGTGCTTGTTTGGTATAGAATTTTGGTACCCAGCCCTATTCAAAAGTGATTCTGTTTAACATGCTTATAATGTGATTTATGTATTAGACACAAAATGCATGTACATGATTCAGATGCATGTAAAGCCTTGCATGTGTTGTTCAATCATGCAGTGATGCCAAAGTTCATTATTGTTTCTCCTGAACTACACCTTTTAGAAACATTTGTTCTGTGCATAAGTTCTGCATAGGCTGCACATTCCAGCCTAAAGCAACGAAGGAATTGTGTGATTGTGTCGTGGAGAGGGGGGGTCTGCCTGGTGGACCCTGGCATCAGTGATGGATTTGTGGGAAGTGGAGAGTGATGGCATTGCAGTAGTGTTGGGGTGTGTCGAACAGAGCCTGATGCTGCTGGACATGTGTGTTGAGGCTGCAGGGGGATGCATTGGTCTCTGTCTGAACGGTCAGCCCCCTTCATTGTCCATTCCTCCCCACTTCCATGCCAGAACGCTTCTGGAATATGATCCTGTGGCTTTGCCTAAGCACTTTTCTTTTCTCCTCTTTCTCTCTGTTGACTCTTGCTGCAGAGATACTTCAAATCAATGCCCCCCACTTATACCCCATAGCGAGACATCAGTCCATTTGCACGCACAAATGCACATATATGAAGACACACCCAGCTTTTAGTGAAGTTTTTAGTGAAACTCAGGGTTTCTTTGTGTCTTATTCTATAGAAACGTGTATGTATGCATATGTGTGCCAGAATTTGATATTTAGAAAATGGTGTAATAACAGTGTAATAATAGTGCAATTAGTTAACACAAAATGGGGAAACTGTAGGGTATCTGCTGAAGCATTAGCATCTTGCTAGCAACCTCATCATTGACAACTATTTGACAAGATATCTGCAGCAGAATGTGTCTGTGTATTCCAGAAGAACACACCCATGCCTGCTTGGTCACTGGGGTCAGCTTACCTACTCCTATCCTAAAATTGCCTTTTACTTAAAGGGCACATATCAATTTTTTTCCTTGTTTGTTTTTAACTAACTAAGATGGATATAAACTCCCCAGTCCATAAACTAAGCTACAAAAACAGACATTTTGAATTTGTCATGGTTGTGACATCACAATCATGATAAAATTTAATGTATGAACACATTTAGGTGTGTCTTTAGCCTACAACAGTTTATCCAGCCCATTCACAATGAGGTGGTAAGGAGTGTTGTTACTGTAGAAGACTTGGAAGATGAAGATATGGAGCTTTGTCAATATAGCCTTCCAAAGTACCTGGACATCTGACTGAAGATTTCAACCCAAACGTAACTGTTTGGTCCATACATTTCTGACCAGACTGCTCTTTGAAAGAAGAAAAATACAGGGCAGCCAGTCAGAACATACATCATTTGCATATATCAGCCTTTAAGGCTTAGTAACAAAATTTTAATTCTAAGAGATAAAGAGAGGTTTGAAAATTACTAAATTACTAAATCATGGCTGCCCAAACCTGATCCTGCAGATCTACCACCCTGGAGAGCTCCGATCCAACACACCTAGCTCTAACATTTAGATGCCCCTCAAAGCCTTTTTACCTGGATCAGGTTTGTTAGATTATGTTTGAAACTCTGCAGGGTGACAGATCTCCAGGAGCAGGACTGGGCACCGTTGCATTAAGCGGACTTCAGTGAAAAAAGTTAAATATAGAATTTGGGCCCTTTAATGGCAGCCTTCCTAAATGTTGATCAGCTGCTGTATTCTCCCATAGACTGCCATCTGGTGTCGATCAGCATGTACTGCAGAGCTGCAGTGTGAGAGGCTGCGATCGTTCGGCCCCTCTGGGGTGCTGACAGGGGTCCATAGCGACACGTCTCAGGGAGCTGACCCCTGAAGGGGCATTCAGCAGCGTGAATGAGACAGAACTGATGAGTGCAATAATGGCACCAAGTGAATTACAAATGCAGCCCTCTCTCTCTTGTTCTTTCTCACTCTCCGTCTCTCACACGCACACACACACACTTCATCACACCTTTGCTGCCTCAGCAGTCTGGCTGCATCTGGAGAGAGAGAGTGAGAGAGAGAGAGAGAGAGCAAGAGAGAGAGAGAGAGAGATCTCAGATGTAGCAGGCAGGAATGTGGGATCAATCCTTGCTGACTAGGGGATTAGTAAAGTTCAACAGGCATGGGACATTGACACTGGGTGCCGCTCAAAGTCATGGATACTCTGCCTCAGCTCGATAGTACCTGTGCCCTTGCTGAGGCTCAGGGTTCCGTCTGTCTCTCTGTCCCCCCATCTGCCTGCATCTGCTGTGAGAGCAGGGCAGCACTGAGTGTCCTGCCAGAGACCTGCTGGACAGCACAGAACCTGGCAGCCTAGCTGGTGTCACCTTAAAGCTTCACCTATTAAAAGAGATCGTTCCTCTCATTCGATAGTGGGTTTTTTGCATTCAAAGGAGTAGTTTGGTGAAAAATCACATTTACACAATTTGCTCCTACGCCAAGTGTAGCCAGTGTTTGAAGTTTCTGGCTCCGTAAGTTTTGCACTGGAGCTATGATGTAATATATAGTAATAGAGATAAAAAACAATGGAAGCTTGTAGCCCATTAACTAGCATTGTGCAAACTACCTGCTTGAAAATCATCACACTGCTCATACTGTTATAACTGTTATAATTAATAACTAATAATACTTCGAATTATTTCTCAATTGTGTGTTTCTGTTATCTGTCAAAATGAACAGAGTAAAATTAGGGCTTCAAGATGCTGTTTGCTGCATACTTTAGTCAATTTTATAGTTCACAGTATGTAAAACAGTGTCAAGCAAGAAATTTCTGCATATTTAGTAATGTAGTTTATATGAAGATGATCACATCCATTACATGTAAATGTCCATTACATGTTAGCTACATTAGCCTCACAGCAGAATAGCAAAACTTCAGACACCACACGTCTCGATGATCAACTACACTTGGAATAATTTCACTGAATTATTAGTTTGAACAGTAAATTGATTTCGGTCACTTTTTACAATATATATTACATTGATTTTATTTTACCTTGATGTCATTTTTATATTTCTGTCAGAAACCTTTTCCATTTCTAACCTCTATGATGCAAGTAAATATATTTATTTATTTATTATTTAATCGCTTCCTTACATTGTCAGCTAAAACATAGATAGATATGTAGATAGATAGATATATAGATAGATATCTAGACAGATATCTAGCACAACACTTGGAGTGGGTGATCACAGGCTGTGTGGCCGCTGTTTGTCGTGGACCGGTTGGTTATTTACTTGTCTTGTGTACTTGTTTGCTTGCTGTAGGTGCTCTCTGATGGGTTTTGACCTGAATCGCCACTGGCAAGACCCTTCCCCATGGGCTCACCCCACTCTCCACGCTGTCAAACAACTCATCGTCCAGATGAACCAGGACCCTGTGAGTGACAGCTCTCACAGACACACACACACACACACACACACACATCCCCATTGCAAAGCTTGGTATAATTAAAATCAGCAAACTTGTAGCATTGTGCTAAGTTAGAGGCCACCTGTACTTCATTTCATTTCCAGGCAAAACAGTCATTTAGTATAAGTTATTCATTATTCAGGATTTTTCAGGATGATCCACTTGAGTAAGGAAGGGGAAAGTCAAAGCAAAATAGGTGAAAAAACAGGGGACTCGTCCTGACTGGAGTTTAAATTATTAAAAGATATAGAGAAAGTGGAACAGTTGTCATCAATGAATGTGTTTGGGATTATGTGGATTGTGAAAAGCATAAAAATTCAGCCAACTTCTAAGACTAAACTTTAGAGGTGTGGAAAAATATCCCGGCAAATTTCTTTGAAAAGAATTGACGCTGTAATAAGGGCAAAGGGTGGACACAATAAATATTGAGAAGAGTCATATTATATTCCGTTGTTGAGGCTTTTATGTACTTCTCTGTTAAGTGTATGTTTCCCCTGACATTGAAAATTGCATAATTTGGACTTAATGACAGTTTTGACTGGAAGTACAAGAAACGAAGTTTGACTTTTGCATTGTCAAAGTTTGTTGTTGTAGTGTAGCACCAATTTTCCATTTCCACACAGTGCGACTGCGTGCTCCTTTATCACACCGCAGAGGCTCTTTTTAAGACTATGCCTAAAAGAAGCAGTAAGCGAGAATATGGTGCATATTGGAAAAGCTTAGTTCAGCATTTAGGCCTATGTTCCATTGAAGCCCCCATGCTCCGCTTTCATAACACTAACACTGGGGGACTTTGACTCAGCAGCTTTTTCTGTATATGTGTGTATGTCTGCTGACGCGATTCGAAAGCTCTGCCGCTCAGGTGCATCTCCCCTCGCTCACTCTCTTCCTCTCTCCCCACACGTTTGCACATTCTTTTGTTTGGGCGCAGGGCCGTCTGTTCCGGGCCGGGTGTTAATTATGGCGGGCGAGCGAGTGAGGTGTGTGATGAGTGAAGGTCAGGGGCTGTCCTGGGAATGGCCTGCCCTTTGCTGCTCTTTCAAAATCCTGATAAGAGCAGGAGGATTGGCGAGGGGAGCGGGGGCACGCTCGGCGGCTTAACCTTTTCCCCCAGCGCTGACACGCTGATCGATGGGATCCTTCATAGCACAGTGATCTGCCCATGTCCCTCACACTCCTCAGAGACACACACACACAAACCAGTCTCTCACTCATATACACAAACTCTCTGACAATCTCACACACACATATACTCACCCTCAACACACTCACCATCCACTATATAAATAGATACATAATGGAAGTAAATTCATTGATGTTAAATTAAAACACATTTTGTTTCTCTTATATCAAAATCTCAGTGATCTGTTTTTTTATGGATTCATTATTTGATCAAGGTAGATTCTCTTTGCATTCTATAAACATTTCATGACGAATTGACCGTGAAATATAGGCCCTAATTAGTTAAAGCTAATGTTGACTTCCATTTTGGTTTAAGAACACCTTTTTTTGTCCCATAAAATGACCATTTCAGAGATACACTAGACTACTAGTAAAATGCTTCTAGTTTAATGTAAAGCTTTTCATTACAAACAGCCTAACAATTTGAGTGAAAAGAACAACTTCTGAAATATTTACATCAATTTCAGAATTCCTCAGTATTGGGTATGTCTCCCTTTGGTTTTAATGACAGTGTTGACTCAAGCTGGACTCCACAAGTTTGTGCAAAAGCCTCTGATGAGTAAATCAAATCCACCTGAGAGTCATCTTCTGCTTCAATAAAAAGAATATGATAAAAAATATCCTGACCTGTATGTATTTAGTCCTAAAAGCTACACTATGTAAGTTTTGGAGATTTGGAGACCTCTCTGGTGGAAATTTGTAATTGCAGACAACATGCAGAAAAACATATTGTAACATCAGTTGTGCTTCGGACCCCCACGAGTGGGTTAATCTGATGACTGCGAGTGTGTTGAAAGAGTATTAAAAAAAACCTTGCTGAACATGTCTTCTGAGGATGTGAGTGAATTATCTACTATTGTTATCATATCTTCATCAGTATTATCATTATCAGTATTCGTTTTAGACCTTAACATTAAGCTGGACCTTCTTTTTGAGTTGTGTTGGTGACGTTAAGATGTATGACGTGGTCCGAAAAAGTCCCACAAAATCTGACCCAACATCTCTGACTCTTAAATTACTATTTTAAGCTTTACAAGTGACTTGCAGCAGTGCATGGACACCATATTTTAGCATATTTTTTACTCCTGCTACATACACAGTGCAGCTTTAACATGGTCAGAGTTACAAATTTACTGAAATTTGAATAGTGACCAAAATTAGCCCAGAGTCTTGAATAGAGAGAGGGAAGCAAAATTAGCATGAAACACAGCATTAGAAATAGCAAATGGAATTACAGAGCAATAATATAACATGGAAAAGGTCATGCAGCATTTCAGTGGAATTATATACCATGAAAATGGCTGTTCAGTAATGAGAAAGCAGAGCAAACCCATCAGTATCCACATACAGAAACTGTCTGTGGTGTAAAGTTGTTGGTATTGTTTGGCTTTCGTTCATTGTTGAGGTCTTTTTAGTTTTTTTTTTTCGCTGTAAGCACCATGCTGTACTCACATACACACAGGGGAAAGGCCTGCTGGCTTGGCCCCTTACTACCATGGTAAGTCCTGGGGTCTCCCAAGCTCTAACACACACACACACACACACACTGGTGTCATGCTGGCAGAGCTGCTGGCTCTGTGGTTAATCACATCAGATACAGCACACAGCTTAACCTGCCAGTCTCACTGCCAGCCTTGTGGCGTGTGACTACAGCATTCTACTCACTGCCCATGCTGTGTGCTCCGCCATCCCACTACACAATATTGCATAAAATGTGAGGAAAGTAATTCCGAGATTTCATGTGAAATACACCTTGGTAGAGAAAATTACCAAGTCAGAATATTTCACAATGATGGTGAAAAGAACCAGACGTCTGAAGTGTTTAACACCTCTAAAAACTCCCCCACAGAAAGTTATTACATGATATGGTAACGAATAGGTGTGATGCCTGAGACATTGCTAAATGATTGGTTTGAGATAAGATTTTGGCCTAAAACACAGTTTTTCAAATCTGTTTGTCAGAGAGGTGCATGTAGTTTGTTGCTCAGCAAAATAATGCAGAAAAAAAACATTTTCTCAGATTTATTTTATCATCCTTATCATTGCACATGAAAACTAAATATGTCATGGAAATATGTCAGTTCACTGGTCATTTTGGATAATACATAAATTGTTTATATTTGCATATATTTGCACTGTAAAGAAATCTGAGTCAGTAAGTTTTTTTACAATGGAACCATTTTACATCAAACCACTCTGAATGACTTTGTTTACATCTCAACGACTAAATTATGGAGAAATGTAGAAAAATTCCCCTATCATATGTAAGAGAATGCCAAACATACCACATTTGCCCTGATGTTCACAGTGAATTCACTAAGCATGATAAACATACATATTACATATTATACATACTGTATATTATGAATGTTAAAACATATAATAAATATACATTTTGCTAGAAGCCCTGTAGCTTCTGTTGTCATGATTGCTACATTCTAGTCTGGCAGTTGCAGCAGTTACTGATTTTGGAGCTTTAGTAAGTAGTAGACTTTTACAAAACAGCGTTATCTGTATTATTTCAACATATATACTCCACTTAGTCCACTTAGCACATAGGTGTTCCCTGTAATTCTACAACTACAAATTGTCGTTCATTTCTCTGAATGCTTTATTGGCATTTCTTTATCCTGTTCATCAATGATCAGGACCACCACTGAGCAAGGTGTTATTTGGGGGATAGAGCATTGTCAGTATCACTGCTGGGCTGAGAATAGTCCCCCCAAACTAAAAACATCCAGCCGACAGCATCCTGCAGCCAGAAACTGACCACTAACAAAGGGCTAGATGAAAGACTAACACAAACTGTGCAATAATGAATGAGCTGTCGATTCATCTCTAACTTTACATCTGCAAGGTGACCAGCAAGGTGAGTTTTGCTCTGCTGAGTCTGATCCACTACACTCACCAACTTGTTGCTACCACGTCAGTGTCACTGCAGGGCTGAGCATGATCCACCACATAAATAATACCTGCACAGTGGTGCTCCTGTCAGGGTCCTGAGTCCTGACCATCAATGAACATGGGTTCAAAAATGCAGAGAAACAGATAATCTGTAATTGTTAAACTACAAAGTGCACCTATAAGGTGAGTGGACCTGATAAAATGGACAGTGAGTGTAGATGCAAAGTCATATGCAAAAGTTTGGGCACCCCAGTTTATATATTTTGTTGAATTTCTAAGTGAAAATAAGTTAAAACATCCTCTATAGACAACACACAACTGTACATTTTAACTGTACATGCACAGTTACTGTTTATTTGCTGCATGTGACTTATTTGAGGGAAAAAATGAATGCAAACATTATATGCAAATGTTATAGCTCATTACATCTAATTTGCATATGTCTCTAGGTGTACCTAACAAACTGGCCAGTGAGTTTAGATTTCCACGGCCACAGTCATGTCTAATTTGGAGAAAGTGTTAATCCTAAAACCGCCCACTTCTTTGTGATTGTCTTTTCCCATCACTCTTTTCCTTCTAGACTGTTTATTTTTTAAACCACTCCATATTAATACTTTATAAATGAATATGCAGTTATTAACCTAATATAAAAAGATTTTCTTTTATGGTCAAGAGGCAATAAAAGACAGAAGAAAAGTCAGTTAGATTTCACAACTTTTTTGTATGGGAAAAAAAAACAAACTTGGACACATTCACTTTCATTTGACACATACGCAGTTTTACTTTCAATCAATCTGACAGAAAGTAAAGTCACCTGAATGGTTTTCAAACAAAAACAGTACGCCATATTACACCCGAATTTGAGCACTGGTCAAGGGAGA